AATTCTTGAGAAGGTTTAAGATCAGGCATAGAGGATGATTAACATATCAACACATTTCAGGTCTAAGATAATTATTGTGACCTGGAGAACATATACTATTACTTTATCATTTCAGTTTGGATCTCAGTAATATTTTCCAATGGTTTAACATGGAACTAAACACTTTCTGATTTAATATGAATTTGGGTTAATTCAATTTGTAAGAAGTTGAAAACAAACACAATGGGCTTTAATCAAAAGGCTAAGGATTAATTAAGTCCTTAGAGATTTGTGTTAAGAATAGAAATTTTATTCCATACACAGCAGATCATTTCTGGTCTTAACATTATTAGCTTAGCTTTAATGTTTATAAAGCAATATTCAGGTATTTGCAGGAAAAAAAATAAAACACTAAAACTGTTGATTCCTCACCAAAGGGGATACATGCATATTTGAAATTTGGACAGGTTTTGGCAGGAAGTTTGCCTCCTCTGTGCTGTGTTTGCTGTGATAGCTGTGTATGAATGTTCAGTAGAAATAATGCTCCTGGACGGCAAAGTGATTCAGGATGTCAGTTCTTCTTTATATGGACCTCTTTGTGAGACAGTCTGGTCTTTACGCCATTATCTCTGGGTTCCAAAAGAGTGACACAGCCCCAGAATCAGTGTCCTAAGAGATAGGAAGTAGAAACTGCTAATCTCTCAAATCCCACCCTGGAAATCCATACACATGGCTTCATTCTACTAAGCAGGCAGTACAGAGCTCAGTCTCACTGAGGAGGGTCACGGCCTCCAGCTGCTAGAGGGAAGGAGGGGTGTTGAAGATAACTTGTAGCTAGATTTTTGAATTAGCACAGAAGATAGGGGAATGTTGACTAAATTATTTTTAGTTGGCAAGGTTAATTGCTTCAGAGTAGGAGTACTATTAGTACTTTGGGTCAAGAAGTATACTTTTATTCAGATTGTTTTTGGTACAATTTGAACAAAATTGTTTCAGTCATTTCAGACATTTGAAAAGTTTTAAGTTGAAAACAAGCACAGTGGTTTCTAATTAAAGGCCAAAGATTAATTAATTCTTCAAATTTGCTATAGGATTTGGAATTTTATTCCATACATAAGACTAACAAACAAATTCTGGCCTTGAAATTACTTAGTTTTAATGTTTATAATTCTGTATTCAATTATTTGCAGAAATTATAAAGATATGAGATAAATGTGTGTGTATATGCACACATGCACGAATATACAGCATGCCAACAACTTTAGTAGTCAGTTGTTCTGATAGTCTTTTTTTTTTTTTGCTCATAAATCTGCAATTCAAGCAGGTTGTGGCAGGGAAGTTTGTCTGCTCCATGTTGCATATGCTGTGTATGCGTCGAAGCATTAAAAATCAGTATTTACAAGCTGGGTGTTTTGGCATGTGCCTGTATTCTGAACTACGTGAAAGCTTGAGGCAGGAGGATCACTTGAGATCAGGACATTGAGGCCTGCTTGGGCAAGTTGCTATGTCAAAACAATCAAGCACCCCAGTATTTACAAGGTCTAAATGAAGAAAACTAGGAAATGAGAATGAAGCAAGTCAAGTAGGTTCTCATAGATAAGTATGTTTGATATATTAGTAAGGCACAAAACTCATGATCTTGAAAGAAAAAGTATACAAGTTTTATTTCATTGGTTTTGTGTGCCTCTAATCCCAGCACTCCAGAGGCAGAGGCAGATAGATCTCTGTGAATTCGAGGGTAGCCTGTTCTATAAAGTGAGTCCAGGACAGCCAGGGCTACACAGAGAAACCCTGTCTTGAACCCCTGCCTCAAAACAGCAAATAAATAAATAAGTAAATAAATAAATAAGTAAATAAATAAATAGAAAGGGAAAAAAAAAAAGAATTTGGTACACAGTGAAGCTTGGCGGCACATTTCTACCCCAGAACTGGGGAGGCTGTGATAGGAGGATGGCAATTTTGAGGCCACCCCCCAAAAAAGGGCTGGTGAGATAGTTCAGCAAGTAAAAGACGCTTGTCACATAAGACCAGTGATCTCAGTAAAGGTAGGAGATAGTCAAGTCCAAGAAGTTGTTCTCTGACTTCTACATGCATGCCTTGGCACTTGCACCCCCCCCACATGCACGCATGCGCCTGCCCACATGCAAGAAGAGGGAGGGAGGGACGGAGAGAGGGTGGGAAGAGAAAAGAGGGATGGACGGAGGGAATAAGTTAAAAAAATTAGCCCGCCTAGACTGTGGACAGAGTGCTGACGATAGTGAGCTAGCACTGCACACCTTATTAGATTGGCTAATAGCTAAAACAACGATCACAGTGAAATACTAGCAAGATTAGAAAAAAAGAGCCTCACTTACTGTTAGTGGGAATATAGGATGGTCCAGCTAATTTAGGAAGCAGTGTAGAAGTTTATTAAAAAACAGTATTAACATAAGAGTAGCAATTATTCACATAGGTATTTGCCCAAATAAGGCAAAATTACATGTCTACAAAAACAAACAAGCAAACAAACATGTATCTTGGTGCTTTTTATTTATTTATTTATTTTTTTTGGGCAAAATAACCCAAATGTTCTTCCATGAAGAAATGAGTAGAGAATACTATCATTTTACAGAGAATTCTTCTAACAAATTAGAAGTATATTCATTTGTACTTATTGAAATCACCTAGAATCTCATTATTAGAAGTGTTAGAGCAGTAAATTCCTCATCTTAGAAATATAAAGAATGGAACCTGGAAGCAGAGGAGTTAAGTGATCACAGATAGCTAGTAAAATGTCCTCACAGTTAGAAGTAAGTCTCTCACTCTCCAATCCCACTCCCTTCCTCCGTTCTTTCCTCCCTCCCCCCCACCAGTGAATTTGCACAAAATATGAGTTGTATATTTTAATAATGGCAGTTGATAATTACAAGCGTAGCTGGCAGAGATTTTTCCTTTGGGCAGAGATTTAGAGTTAATACTTTATATGATTCTCAATACTGTCTTTTTTTGTTTTTGAGTAGGTAGGTAGTCCTGTTAGGAGCGCTGGTGTATAAAGACCTGCTCAAGACGCTACTTTCATTCTTTGGAGCGTATACTCAGTAATGGGATGGCCACATCAAATGATAACTCCATGTTTAATTTTTTTTAAGATACCAGCACATTATTTTGCATAGTTCTGTACCATCTTATATTCTACAGAGATTCCAGTTTCTTTATATTCCTATCAGTGATATTGGTACATAACTATCCTAAAGGACATGAAATAGAACCTTGGTGTATTTTGATTTGTATTTCCCTAATTCTTAGTAACCTTGAACATTTTCATGTACTTATTTTGGTTATTTATAAATAGGCAAATGTTAACAGTGTTCTTTTCCTGTTTTTACTTTATTTTTTGTTTGCTAACTCTTTGACAGTTCGGGAATTATCCCTATTAAGTGAATTGCTTTTGCCTATTTGGAAATTGAGTCTCTACTGTCGTATAAAACTTTTCCTTCTTGCTACCTAGTATTTATAACTTTACAGTACCTTTGGTCTAAAAATTATATACTGTAGGTGTATAACCTGAGGGTCAGGAGAAGTGCTGGGTATCAAGTCAGAGCCTGGTGCTTTCAGACAGATGCGCTACTGCTGCACTACACTCTCTTGTGGGTGTTATTACTAATGCTGTGTTCATAATTGACTCTGGTCCTTGTTGCTACTAGAGGACATTTTTTTCCTGGCATCTTGAAACTTATCTAGGAAGGAGTTATTTTAGCACATAACCTACAAATATATATTATACATGGTCTTTATATAGGCAATTTTTTTGAAGTTAAATATAGAAATACATTATTTTAATAAAAATTAGCATTTTGCTAGGCATGGTGATGAGTGCCTTTAAGCCCAGCACTCTGGAGGCAGAAGTGAAGGGATGTTTGAGTTCAAGGCCAGTGTGGTCAACATAGCAAGTTCAAGGCCATGTGATCTTATCTTAAGACAAACAACAATAACCGCCCCATACATAGACAAAACAAACAAAACCCAGAAAGGATTAGAATCCTTACTTTGTTCTCATTGCAATATAGAAAGTTTTTCTTTTTAAAAATTATTTTATTTACATTTGTCTATGTGAAGGTATCAGATCCCCTGGAACTGGAGTTACAGACAGCTATCAACTGCCAGTGTGGGTGCTGGGATATGAACCCAGGTCCTTTGGGGGAGTAGCTAGTACCCTTAACCACTAAGCAACCTCTCCAACCCCAGAAGTTTTTTGTTATAAAAAATTTTAAATTGTGGGCTGCGGAGGATGCAGCTCTGTAGAATGCATTCCAAGCACCCAGAAAAATCCTGGTCAGTACCCATTACCACATAAACTGGAGACAACAATATCAGAAACTCAGATACTTCCTTGTCTACGTAGGGAATTCAAGGCTGGAATACGTGACACCTATGTCAAAGGAAAAAGATTTCATGAAAAGGATTGATTTTTGTGCCCATCTTATTTGCAAATTAACATTTCTGTTTTAATTATTCATTCAGACCTTTTTCAATTTTGTGAACAAATAGTAGACTGGACTAACAACACTAGTTAAAATAACCATCCATATAATTTCTGTTTAAATTGCTTCTAGATTGAGTGTGAAGAAATTTGTTCTTATAACTGAGGGCAGCCCCCTTCCCTGATGCCATCATGTAGGAATCAGCATTCCAGAACAGTTGGTTCCGTTTTGCGTGTTTTCGCCTGGTCTCGACAAACCAACCACTGTGCCTCATAGAGAGCAGTCCATCCAGCACTTGTCATTGGTGGCCGTTTTGTGAGAGAGTCTGTGGACTGACATAAAGTGCTGCCTGCTGTGAACTATCAAGTGAGAGGCTGCCAAAAACTCAGCAGACAGAACTAATTGGGGAGAAAAAGGGCTTTTGTGCAGTCTTCTCTTTCCTTCCTTTCCTCTTTCTTTTTAAGAAGACAGATACTGTTAAAGTAGCATGTTTATGTTAGTCTGTCTGCTTCTCTCTCTCCATGGCGAGATCATTCTCTAACTCCAAGTCTTGCACTGCAGGTTGTTGAGCACATCTACATGGAAGCTGGCACAGGACCAAACTCAAGACACACAGCTTATAACAGTTGATGAGAAACTGGTAAGGGTTTCCTGCAACCTGCTGCTATCATTCTGCCATTGGCATTGTTTGTGCAATAGATTATTCAGTATAGTGTTCCGAGTTCTTCTAGGAAAATTATACACAATGCTTAAGATTTTCACAATAAAATAGAAGTGAATGTTATATGCAAACATAATATACACGTATTAAGAAATTAAAGAAAGGACTCTTTTTCAAATGCTAATGAGTAGTAATTGGAACTCTATTTTGAAAAAATATTTTCAAATTTTCTCAGTTACACTTCTATTTATATTATGTGATGACTATCAGTGTTCTCAAAATTAAATATATTGTGCTTTCCTAGAACCATGCAATGTTATTATCACTCTGTGTTTTTATGTATGCCCATAAACATCATTTCTGTGTACTAAAAAGTTAAAATACAGCTAACAGCAAAAGAATAATATTTTTCCATCATCAGTCAATATAATTTTGACAACTATCATTTAAAATATCTTTAGATAGATGCAGCTTGATATAAATGCATATATTATACAACATCACAACTTTTATAATGTTTTGAAGACTACTTGCACAAATGTATAACAATGGTATTAGTATGTATTTCATTTGTTATATGGTTTACTGTATAAATAGAAGTATCTCTTAATTACCCCTCCTTAGGCCAGCTTTCTGTGTTGACCTCCACCACCCCAGCACCGCCACTCATTCTAATGAGGTCATTTTTTTATTACTCAACTTTGCCCCTGTAAGCACAATCTAAACAAGTCACTCTGAAATCTCTATTACTAAAGATAATAGATGGATAACAAAATAGAAAAGTAAGCAGATAGTTTAAGAAATTCATGTCTTAGACCTCAGGCTAACTGCTTATCAGATTATCTTAGACCTGTCTAAGATATCTTCAGATTATCTTAGACCTGTCTGTTGACACTACCATCATCTTAGGATAGACCAGCGATTCTCAACCTTCATAATGCTTCTTTGTTGATTCTTAATAACTGTAATTTTGCTGTACTTATGAATTGTAAATATCTGATATGTGGCCCACAGGTTGAGAAACACTGGTGTAGACAATGCCATATAAATTATTTGTATTTAGTCAAAGAATAAAAGAAACAGGCAGTTGTGTGTAAGAGGAACATCTCTTTCCTTTCACATGTGTTGTAAAGGGAACACCAGTGTTTTGGTTTTTGTTTTTTTTTTTTTTTTTGTGGGTTTCTCTGTGTAGCCTTGGCTGTCCTGGACTTGCTTGGTAGACCAAGCTGGCCTCATAGAGATCTGCCTGCCTCTGCCTCCCAAGTGCTGGGATTACAGGTGTGTGCCACCACACCTGGCAGCACTAGTGTTTTACTTTTGTTCACCATCTCTTCAAAGCCCAGAGATTGGCTTATTGTTACAGTATTATTGTTTATTAAATTTTTAGAGTTTGTTAGCAGTGTTTCTTGGTTCTTACTATCTTAAAGAATTACCTGGTTCATATATTACTCTAGACAAGTCATTGAGGTATTTATACTGGGTTAGTATGATGCTTTTACTTACATGTCACAAAATCAGTTGTATACTGCTGATGGATTTTTCTCTATGTACATTTCCCCTAGAGTTATTACTTTCCTGGAAGCATGTTAGTGAAACGGCAGTACAGTATTCTATTGGAAATCAGCGAGTTCCTGATACTACTGCAACACCTCCAACACAGTCACTGTGTTGGAGTAACATTGAATATGGGTAAATGAACCCCTAAATTAGAGCTTTAGCTATTTATTTTTATATTCCAATTATAGCACTGGATAGTTAACAAAATACTGCTAGATTTTCACATCTTATTCCTACACAGCTTCTAAAGAAGAGCTAAGTAAGTAGCATAATAAGATCATGGACTCTGAAGAGCTTTTACAAACACAGAGTATTTGGAATTAATTATGTTTGCATTTTGAGCAAATAAGATTGTTATACATATATGCCTATGTATGTAACATTAATGATAAAAGTATTTCAGAATCTAAAATAAATCCCATGAGTATTTTAAAGGATGATTTTAATGCTGTTATTATGTAATTTAAAACAATTTATTATACCAGGCATGGTGGTGTACATCTTTAATCCCAGCACTTGGGAGGCAGAGGCAGAGGCAGATAGAACTCTGAGTTCCTGGCCAGCCTGGTTTGCAGAGTGAGGTCTAGGACATTTCAGGCTCTACAGGGAAACCCTGCCTCAAAACTAAACCAAACCAAACCAAACCGAACCAAAACAATTTATTAGATTGATATGTTTTTTTCTGTTTGGCTCTTTAGTTGTTAATTTTTTCTTTGTTTCTGTGTTTGTACATACATCCATGCTTGCACCTTGTGTAGGAGGGTGGCCACAGTGGCCAGAAGAGGGCCTTGGATCCCACGGAGGTACAATTATAAGCAATTGTAAGCTGTCCAACTTGGGCACTAGGATCTGAACTCAAGTCCAGTGGAAGAGCAGCAAGCACTATAACTGCCCAGCCATCTCTCCAGCCCTTTGGCATGCTCAGAGCTACATTCTCATTCCTGATATGCTATCTTTAGTAACCACCCAATAGTAGATACCATGATTACATTTGTACCTTAAATTAGATGGAAGGTAGAATCTTAATTGAAATAAATAAAGTTGGCCATTACTTTATGGATAGCCATTATAATTTTATTGTTATTCATATGTAATATAATTTGAAAAGTAATATAGATGATGACTATGAGGACTCAGGAAATGAACTAAACATTTTAGATCCATTTTAGTGTCCTGTTTCTAGTTTCTGAAAATGAATCCTAGAAATTAACAGCAGAGGATAACTTTTAAGTATCACCTACTGATTTTACAGAATCTAGTTATTTTTAGTTTAAAAAAAAAAGAGTTCAACTTTCCCCTGCCTGAGGAATCCTACAGGAGAATCCAGTAGGTAAAATAGACAACAGCTGAACTATTAGAGCCCAGGCTTGGAGGCGTCTTGAGGAGGGAGGGCTGCGGAGCCTCAGGACACAGGAGACTGGGAGATATGGTCAAATTTTTTACCTCTTTCTTGGGCTAACCAAGTGCTTCTCTGATGTAAAAAAAAGGTCAGTTTCTTGACCCTTATTTCCTTGTTAGGCTTCTGTTCATATTGCTGATGAGCCATGACTGTTGAAAGTTGTCTCTTAAATGGGTGTGGTGGTACATGCTTACAGCTCCCACATGTAGGAGGTGGAGGCAGGAGGGGCTAGATCTCAAGATCATCCTTGGCTGTATAGCAAGATTGAGGTCAGCTTGGACTGCTTGAGACCCTGTCTCAAAAATCTAACAAAAAGTTCTTCCTTATGAAGAAAATGATGAGAAAATTCTGTACTTCTAGGCAAAATTAAAAACAAAAACTTTTCATTTATACCTGAGCCATACCCAAAATTTAACTCCCAAGTTCTAAATATAAACTTGCACTAAATTTCAAACTAAAATAGTTAAAATTATTTAAAAAGACACTGAAGGAGGAGATCTTTGTAGCTTTGGATTAGACAAATACTTTTTAGATACTATGCTCTATTAAAAGTGTGCAGTTCATGTTTTTAAAAAGTTGTAAAAATCGACAATTCTCACAATTAAAACATGCTTAAAAATGTAAGACAGGGTAAGTTAAATGGCCCAGTGAATAAAGATGCCTATCACCAAGCCTGGCAACCTGAATTTAATCCCCAGATCTTATATGGTGGAAAAAGAGAACCGATATCCACAAATTGTCCTATGATCATTACCTAAGGCTGTGTGACACACAAAACTACAGCCACACATTCACACACACAAAGAGATTAAAATGTGACAATAGTTTAAAAAAGCTATGTGCCCAGATTTTTTGGTTCTGTTGCTCTCCTTGTGGAGTTCCTGTCCCTTCCAGGTCTTACTATTTCCCCCTTCTTTCATAAGATTCCCTGCACTCTGTCCAAAGTCTGGTTATGAGCCTCAGCATCTGCTTTTTTTTTTTTTTTTTTTTTTACAATCTTTCACTTAAGAAATTTATAATCAAGGTACAAATAAAGGATAACCCCTATATCCATCTCAAAGATTTAATAAGACCATTCTGCATAGGCTTCCTCTGTCTTTGCTGCAAGTATTTGTTTTTTCATTTTTTTAAAAATTTTTATTAATTACACTTTATTCATTTTGTATCCCCCCATAAGCCCCTCCCTCCTCCCCTCCTGATCTCACCCTTCCTCCCCTTTCTGCATGCATGCCTGCTTTTATACACTGCTGGGTAGTCTTTCAGAGGCCCTCTTTGGTAGGCCCCTGTCCTGTTCCCTGTTTTCTCCCTCTTCCTATGTCCATTCCATTAGCCTTTCTGAGTGAGGATTGATAATCTTACCTAGGGTCCTCCTTCTAGCTTAGCTTCTTTAGGTGTACAGATTTTAGTATGATTATCCTGACTATATGTCTTATATCTACTTATAAGTGAGTATATACCATGTTTGTCTTTCTGCTTCTGGGATACCTCACTCAGCATGATCTTCTCTAGTTCCCACCTGCAAATTTCATGATTTCCTTGTTTTTAATTGCTGAGTAGTATTCCATTGTGTAAATGTACCACAATTGCTGTATCCATTCCTCAACTGAGGGACATTAGGGTTGTTTCCAGCTTCTGGCTATTATGAATAAAGCTGCTACGAACATGGTTGAGCAAATGTCCTTGTTGTATATTTGAGCATGTTTTGGATATATGTCCAGGAGTAGTATAGCTGGATCTTGAGGTAGCACTATTCCTAATTGTCTGAGAAAGCACCAGATTGATTTCCAAAGTGGTTGTACAAGTTTACATTCCCAGAAGCAAAGGAAGGTTCCCCTTTCTCCACATCCTCTCCAGCATGTGTTGTCACTTGAGTTTTTTGATCTTAGCCTTTCTGATGGGTGTAAGGTGAAATCTCAGGGTCGTTTTGATTTGCATTTCCCTGATTGCTAAGGATGTTGAGCGTTTCTTTAAGTGTTTCTCTGCCATTCGATATTCCTCTGTTGAGAATTCTCTGTTTAGCTCT